TGGTCCTGCTTCTGTTGCCACCTCCTCCAAAGCCACCACCAACAGCAGAGCAAGAGCTGTAGCCCCTTCTGCTCCCGCCTCCAAAGCTTCTACAGGCCGACTGCCGAGACATGGCTGTTTCTTCCAAGCAAGGTCAAGAGCAAGAAGAAAGATCAACGCAGAGCTAAACAGCAAGGAGAGCAACGCAGAGAGAAGTGCTCAGAGGCTTCTCTGACTTCACAGCTTCATGCACTCCCTTTTATCCTCCTCACGAGGTGAGCTGAGATTGCATGGGCGTGAAGGTGGAAACCCATTTATTGTCTTCATCAGCATGGTGATGTTGACAGATTTTCAGTGAAGCTTTACCGTATTTGGGTATGCCTAGAGGCACACCCTGCAATATAGAAGGGAATAAAAGAATAAGAACATTGAAACAGGTCACAGTGACTAAGTGGACTCCTGTATCTTTATGGCATCTTGAAAGCCGCCTTTTACTATGATGTGCTTCTCTGTAGTCCCTCACCGGCCCCCCTGCAATTGTTAATAGTCTCCTATAATTCCACGTCTAAGTCTTTCAATACAAAGCTCCACTGAAAGGAGAAGTTTTGATGAGAGCCCAGCTATAATACGGCTTTCACAATTCCTCACACACACCCTAAATCTTCACCCTGTGTGTAAATTTGCCCTTGGCACTTTAGGAAAGGTTTCCCAATCTTGAGTGGGAATTCATGACAACAAAGTTTGAAGAAAATCAGCATATTCTTCCCCTAGGAAGGAATTACCACTCCTTGGAGTATGAGTAGCATCACTTTGGATGGGAGTGTCTTCTCCAAGAGGATTAAATTCCCTCCATCTGCATCGCCCAGATTCTTTGGTAACTGACTACTGAGGACCGTGGACAACACAGGAGCAGAAGGAACAAGGCGACACGAATGTTCCTGCTCTGTGCTTTTGCGATGGGGAATGACTACCTGCAGAAGACTGGAAGGACACATCGGACAACTAGAATGATGATGATGATGGGGACAAAGAGACAAGAAATGGAAAGACAGAATAAGAATTTGGGGCATGGGGAGTTCCTATCATTCAGGTGAATGTTCTTTGCACACTTACCTTGTTATTTCTGAAGATGAGACAGCTAAAGAGAAAGAAATGTTAAGAAAAGGAGCTATTTCATCATGTAAGGCAATGCATTTTTCCTTATTTTCCCAAACTGTGATGCATAAGGTGCATACTGTACAGCTCTATACTAGGAAGTCTCTGAGAGGAAAGAATCTCATTTGGATTGCATGCATATGGATTTTTAAATAATTATTCATAAGGCATCAAATTAGAGTCCAAAGTGCATAATGACGGTGATATACAATGTTATGAAAAAGGCACTAATTAAGTACTAATTAAATACTAATAAATGCTAATTAAAATCTGTAAGCTCTATTTAAACACTATTCTGCAAGTATTCTCCATTTGAATATTATCAAATGTATTTTTAAGTTAAAAGTATGAATCAAGCAGTAACTTCCTCTACATTTTCTGTAGTACTCAACAGGACAAAAAAAACCCAAAAGTGATAGAGAAATACACATTGCAAGTCCATCAAAAGATGTAAAGCAATAATAAACAGACATGTAAGAATATTCAACAGAAAAATACATACGACCATATATGTTCATTGGGAATTAGATCTTCAGAAAGTCCCCTAAGACAAGTAAACATTGTTAGAAATTACCACAAGGTACCACCCTGTAACAACAGATGCTCTAACGTCTTGGAGAAATCTAACCCAAAAAATCACTCGCGAAAGCCATAGGAGCAAAGAGACAGAGCTCAGAAGAGCAGGATCGAGGGTGATCCCCACCCATATGGGTGACATGTCCTTCATGGTGCAATACAGCAGGAAGGAGACTCCTTCCCTTAAAAAGAGTCTGGGATTAAGAGGGTCTCATGTGATGGTGGTGATCGCAAGCCCCAATGACTTGGGCATTCTGCTGTCCAGTTGACCACTCCAGACCTGGGCAACTCTGTGCTTTCTGTAGAAGAAAAATAAATAAATAAATAAATAAATAAATAAATAAATAAATAAATTGAAAAAGAGATAGCCTCCTCTTCTCTTGACCTCCTTTCCCCATTGCCAAACATGGGGACACCTTCCTTCGCAGGAAATGTGAGTGCATGACCATGTTCTACACACACGTGTTCACTCACTGTGACATCTTCAGACAAGATTTGGAGATTATTCCCAACCTGGAGTCGCATCAGCCTCCTCCAGGTAAAACTCGATAGACAGCCTGGGCTCCAGCCACCCCT